TTCTCGATGTTGAATTTCTTCGAAAATTCTAAGGCAATACCTCGAAATCCAAATCTCGAGGTTTAAATCTCGAGATTACAATCTCGAAGTTTAAATCTCGAGATTACAATCTCGAGGTTTAAATCTCGAGATTAGGATTTCGAGGTATTGCCTTAGAATTTTGTTGACAAAACTTCTCCCTACGACCTATTACCTCGTGTTCTAATCCCTTCGGAGAATCTAAGGGCTCTGATACCAACTTGTAACACCCCCATTTTTCACACCCAAATAAAATCACATTTTTAAATGAAACCATCTTTATTATTAAACATATTTAGAATACAGCGGAAGTCTTTAAGGGAAAAACAGGTGCATCACCGCCACACTCAACCTATACATGATTGAGTGCACAGGCTATCCACCATAAGTTCAAATAACAATGAAATAGATCTTAGGACAAAGTTTTTGAATTACAAATTTAAACAACGATGATTAATCAAACGTGTGCAACTAGCGGAACACTCGGGCAGCAAGTACATCAATCTTCATAATCATAATCATCTGTACAATAGAGCAAAGAGAAGAAGACAAAAGAGACAAAAATTAGCTTTAGAGCTAAGTAAGATTCCACCCGAACCCGTAAAATAATATAATTTAGAAAATAGGTTCGGTATAGGTATATATATAGAAAATACCCTCTCATATCTCCAAAATAACTTCATGTCTCAAAATAATTTCTTCAATAGATAATGTCATTCCTCAATTCCTCCAAAAGAAATACTTTAGATTTCTTTTAAGAATGGGTGAAACACAAGATTCCTCGAGCCCAACGAGTCGTTGTTATTTACGACTCATCCCGGAATTCCGGCTCCCACCGACCACCAATTTGGAAGCTGAATTTCTACCTTAAGTGTGCACACCCTCTAAAAGGGATTCCAAGCCCTCTGAGTAGTAAGAAACTCAAGTAGGCAGGATGTTTTCTACCACCTACTCACAAGGGACATTGTCCAGGGGTAAATTAGGTAACTACTACTACAACCACCAAAGGACCTTTGGTCCTCAAATAAAAGCCCGAGATGTTTGCCGGAGCATGTCATTGTTGGACTGGTTACCGACCCAAATAAATTTCACCAAAAGTAGTAGTAGTCCTAATCACCCACGCCTCGTGTTTCTCTGGAGACGTAAAAATATATTATGAAAAACTTTAAGTTTTTCCCAAAGTCATTCTTATCACACTTTCCAAAATTATACTTTGTAATAAATATCAATCCACCAATATTCTTTAATAAAAAGAATATACATTCAATAATCCATAATAGATAATAATCCACCAATATCCATACATTCAAAATATTCATTCCATGTCAAACAAATAGTTTCCAATTCATAAATTGTTCACATAATTCAAATATTGCATACATATAAATACGAGATCAAACATTTTTGGTTGACATAGAACTTACCTTAAATTGCGATAATCCTCTTAATAAAATCTCTAGCTTGGTCTTCACTTGAATTCTCCTTCTAATATATATCAAAATTCTAAATCAATAACTTCTATTATTTTTGTTATTCCCTATCTATTCAACCTTTAGTTATTTTAACTTCATTATTCCTTCTTTAAATACAACTTTTAAGTTAGATCCATAAATCTTATTTAAATGTTATTTTCTTTAATCAGTCCAACCTTATTATTTTCTTTAATCATACTAATCCCTCCATAATTTAATTTAATTTATTTGATTAATTAGTTAACTAGTCTAATTATATTAACTACATAATAATTTAGTTATTTCAAATTTAAATAATCAATTTAGTTCAAAATTCAGTTTACATAATTTATATAATTTATTTAATAAACCTTTTAATAATAATTTGACGTAAGCAATAATTCGAAATAATAATCATTAATTATAATCTAATCTCAATAACAACTTTAATTAGTTCAATAGTTTATTTATACTAACTAACCCAATTAAATTAATTAATTCAATCCTCCAGTTTTATTTATTTGATTCACTAATTTAATTGAACTAACTAAATCAAATAAATAAGTTTAATTATATCAATATAGCTAAATACATTAATCTAATTCAATTAAGGCCAATAATCAAATTCTAATTCCGTTTTAATTTTCTATTTTTAATATAAATTCCAAAAATATTACTACGTCCATAATTTAACTAATTTATCCATTAAACCAATTGATTTAGTTAAACTAGTCCAATGAAGTCAATTAACTTAATTATTAAGTACACATTACTTAATTAATTTGTTTATACTAATCAACTAAGTTTTATGAGTTCAAATAGTTTAATAATTTATATGGAGTCCAAATCAATAATAATCAAGGATAATAATTATTAATTTAATCACACTAATTCAATTAGTCCACTAATTCATTAATTTATTTATTAAGTCCAAATATAGTCATTCATTTACGCTAGCTATCCCAACTTTATTTTCTTTTTCTTATTTTATTCCAAACATCATTTTAGTCCAGAATATTATTTTCAATCTTAGTGATTTTATTTATTTCACCATTATTATTCAAATTTTCTTATTTAATTACTTAACTAGTTTTATATGGCCTAATTAAATTAAATAGCTTAAGAAATGACTTTATAAATTTATAACCGTCCATAACTATATTTTGGGTCTATATTTGACCTAGGTTGTCCAGATATTTATTTTAGAATTATTTCCCTTATTTATTCATTTAATTTCATATATCTATTAACCAGTTTAATCACAATTAAGTATACTACTCATAATTTTTATTAAATATAAATGGTCCCACATGTCCTAGTTAGTCATATATTTAATCTAGTTTACTCCAATAATTATTTCATAATTTATTTCGTCGTTTAGTTAATTATTTACTAAATATGTACAAATTGGCCCAATTACAATTAAATCAATTAAAAATAGTTAAAATATTATTTTTCAATTTGGTTGGTCTGAATATGTATATTTATACTAGGTATTTAATTTATATTTTTCCAGATTTTATTTATTTCATTTACTATTTTATTTTTAATTTTTATTGAAAATGGGCCGAACCGGCTCAAAAACGCGACCCGGCCCAAGAAGACTGGGTTGTCTTCTTCCCAGATTTCTCCAGGTCGCGATTCCGGCGACCGGAAATCGGGAAACTTCGACGAGTGATATCTTTACTTACAGGTAATGGATTTCAACGATTCAAATTGCAAAATGATCCTGATGGCGAGACGAAGCTCCTCCACCCCTATCTACGGCCAAATGTCTGCTTTTTCTGAAGACCCGTTTGCACGGCTTGACACTCCGGCGACATCTAAGCAACTCCGGTGACTATGAATCGGTCTGGAAATTATTGGGAAGTATTCCTAGACCTCTCACGACCCTCATCTATCGTTTTTACGAAGTTTGATACGTAAAATAATATAGATATAAATTTTCCGGCGAGATTATGTATATATATGTATATGTATATATAGCTTCTATCTCTCCGATTTGCAGTGTTTGGGATGGCTAAGAGGGTGTATTTATAGGTCTAGATGGTCTTTATGGTTTATTTTATTTATTTGATAAATGTATGAATAATAATAATAATAATAATAATAATAAGAATAATAATAATAATAATAATAATAATAATAATAATGTATATGATAGGTTGGTAGTTGATGAACATGGCATGTGTATTGATCATGATTTGATTCCCATTTATGTTGATGTTTAATTTTATTTTATTTTATTTTATTTTATTTTATTTTAATTTTTACATATAAATATATATAATTATATATGTAAAAATATGTACATAATGTATATACATTATTTGGTAGGTGATCCTAGCATGTGTCATTGTTTTATGATCTGATATTTTCATTTATTAATTTGATGCTATTATTAGTAATTTTTAATATTCTTACTATTTTTATTTATTTATTGTTTACTTATTTATTTATTCCGTCATCTATATTTTATCTGATTTATTTCTATTTTATTTTTATTTTATTTTTTCGATGCCACATAAGTGTTTAATTTTATTGCATGTAGCATGCATATATTTTTATACACCAAATATAATACAAAACATTTTTATATTACTTTCATTTGACTTATCAGATATAACTTATCTGATTTATTTATTTATTTATCTTTTTTTCAAATTTTCAAGGTATCACATTCACTATGGGTCAGTCACGTCACCCCCACCACCTACTTACTTGTAGTATAAATAGCCGCATTTATTTCATTGTAAAGGGTTGATAACTTTGTACTCTTAAGCATTAGAGTTCTCTCTAGTTTCATCAATACCTTGCAGCTTAGCCTAGAGGGTCAAAACGTCGTTCGGCATAAGCGTTGCAATCGTCTATTAACTTGAATAGAATTGGATCCACTTGCTTCTATTGATTAATCATTCTTGTTGTTTTGTTTCCTTAAACACTCACCTAAGTAATCACCTAACTAAGACATTCTGACGAAGCCCAAAGGACTGACTGTGTTGGGTCTTTGAATCCTGAGGAATAAACCTCAACACCTTATATCCCTATTGGGGAGCAGTATAAAAAGCAAGCATGGTGTGCTCTCAAAGGTGATCTATAGACGATAAAGATGATCTATAGATGGTCATGAAATGCCGTACCTTTGAACTGTCGGACAACGGCCCCCAAGGCCGCCTTTTAACATGTCAATAAGGTAAAACATAACATGGTCCCACTTCCCACGCCCCCCATATTTATAAGGCACTAGTCACATTATGTTTAGGCCACTAACGTTAATTAATTAATTAATTAATTAATTAATACGTAGTAATATAATATAACGATGTATAATATCATATATGAATATGGGTTGCGGCTGAATTCATGTTCCACTACTCTGTATAATATCGCCCTTATAAATTGAAACTCTTTACAAAAATAGTAGAGATTAATTGCATTATTTAATGAGCATTTAATTGATTTGAGTATAATAAGAATTTAGTTTGATAATATTTATAGTATTTTATTTTAAAGCAAAGCCTCAAATTTTCATTTTTAAAGGGTCCCTCCAAATTCGACAGCTCTGACAGCCCCCCATTTCTCCACACAATTCTCATTTCTCCGCACAATCCCCTTTCCTTTCCTCCATTCCCCCATTTTCGCTATCCACAACGTCCGCCTACTCTCCCATTTTCGCACCAGTCAAGATTGCTTATTTCTTTTATTATACTTTAAAAAGAATCTTGGGGAGGAAGTGTATGAATTTTGTTTTTTTTTGTTGTTGTTAACGGATGTTGTTGGTCAAGAATCTTGAATTTGGTCAGAGCTTTGGGGTTTTCTTGGTTTTGATATTGTGTAGCTTAAGGGTTCTAATCAGATGCTGGAAGGCGTGGCGCATCTCCCCGGCAGCCTCGATGATTCCCCTATGTTTCGCCAACAGGTCTCTTTATTATACTTTAATTATGGTGCTTTCATTAAATATAAAGACACTCATTTTAATGTAGGTACCATACCATATTTTCGAGTTTATGATATTTGTGTATGAGTTTTCGTTAGATTATTTTGCTTGTTATACGAATATGAATCTTTTTGTTTCCTTTTGAGTATTTTCTCATCCAATTAATATGCACAAGCTAAACAACAATGTTTCTAATTAGGGAGAACATTGTTTTGGTCCTTCAATTATTCCCGGTTGTGCAATGTAGCCTCTTTTTCATAAAAGAGTATATTAATTCTCTCAAGCCATAATGCTAACATTACTGCTGATAAGATAAAAGAAAAGGGCACATATGGTTATAAACAATTGCAAAAGATGCCCAAACTTATTTGAATTCCTTTTAAATAGTTGAGGTACTAAAATAACAAGTTTTCCTTCTATATATTCACATTCCATCTTATAAAATGTTGGAGGCCTTGACCTTTTTTGTATGGTTAATCAGATGCAATCTATGGAGGAAAATGTTGAGGTATTGAAGGAGAAATGTCTAAAGTTTTGTAAAGCATGCCGAAAATACACGTGCGTATTTCATCCCTTTGACATATTAACTCGATTAACATGTTACACATACAAAAATAATAAATATTTATTTAACCATTCATTCTTTTTTTCAAAAGAAAAATGTATTAATTCATTTGAAACTATAGAGTCCATGAGATGGGGATGGGCACATTGGTATTTTTCATGCTTAGTCCAGTCCTATTTCACTTTTCATGCCTAATCCTTACTAGTTCATGGATAGGCTATTGGCCCCCTTCTACCTCCTAACGCCTTTTGCAACATTTCTATTTGTGTCAATTACTGTTATAAGGTTTCATTATTTTTTACATTATAGAGAAGGGCTTGTGGAAGCATATGATAGAGACGTTTCTTTCGCTAGTGCCCTTGAAATATTTGGAGGAGTGCATGATGATCCAACTTCTGTGGTATTTGGAGGTCTTTATTAATTCATTAAGAATATCAATCCAGTTATACAGTTCATGAAGTTATGAATAAATATGTCAATTGCTAAGAAAGTGGTCACAACAATACTACCTTGAGCAATGAATCTGCTATTAAAGTTTTCGTATTCAATTGTTTATTATTATTATTATTATTATTATTATTATTAATTATCATTATTGTTGTTTATAATAATAATAATAGTAATATTATTAATAATAAATTAATATTTGTTTTTGTTGGTGGTGCCATTGTCATCGTCATCATCATCATCATCATTATATGGACATTAACACCCACAGGTCCTGATATGGTGAATTGTGCTATAGCCTTGAGAGAGATTGGAACATACAAGGAAACTCTACAATCACAGGTAGCAATTATCTTTCTACTGTATCCAGGAATTCATATCATTAGTTAACTATGCCTTATTTTGTGTGTCCAATATCAACTTTTAAGGCATCATGTATCATTGTCATGTTTATTTTTTATGACATCCACTGATTTTATCTTAGGTGGAGGATGTTCTAATTGATAGGTTACAGCACTTCACCGTGGTTGAGCTTCCACATGTAAAGGTACTGCTCTTTACTATCGCAGTTAACATGTTGTGTCTACAAATTATTGTAGGCTATGTTAATTTGGTCTTAACTAGACTATTTTGAGCATCCCAAGTCAATTATCTAACCAGGTCTGGGTCTAGTATATAATGTGAGGTAAATCACACCTCTTGGGGCATCTTGTTTAGTGTCAGTTTGGACACATTTGTGTGTGACTTCAGTTTTTAGTCTGGCTTGAGCTGTGGGTGTGTTCACTATTGGGCATCCACATCTAGGGATTTTTTAGTCCAGTGTACACATATAAGCATGTTGTATATAGAAACATCACCTCTTGATGATTCTTATAGGGAAAGTTAGGTTTAATTTAAGATTCTAAATCACCGTCTATAGTTTTGAGTCTAGCGTAGCACATATAAGCATGTTGTATATTGAAACATCACGTCATGATGATTCTTTTTGGGAAAGTTAGGTTTAATTTAAGATTCTTTATCACTTTCTATGGTTTTGAAATTGTTTGATTATTATGAACCTTTCTACCAATGTCCATCGTACTGGATTCTTGTCCATAGTATATTTTGTTTCTGTTTTAGTTCCACATTTTCTATTGCTCTTGCCAGATTCCGACTCCCATTAACCTGTCCACACTGAACATAACCGCCAGCTTTCAGTATCCTTTCTTTTTGAGCTTCCATATCAGCCTTGTCATCTCTTGACAAATCAGGTGCCTGATTCGTCCTGGATAGGACACAATGAGAATCGGCTGCATTTGCAGCTATAAGTTGTTTGTCTTGAATGATGGCAACACAAGCCGTGCGACCTGAATATGGCCCGTTATAAACAGAGACAACTTCCTCTTTAGGAGAGTTCTCAACAGTCTGATCCTCATCATCACCACTCTCAGGATAGAATTTGCTTTCAACCACATCTTCTCAACTCTCTAGTTTATGTGTCAGACTAATTAACTCTTTTTGACTCCCTAGGTTACAAATCATTTCGTTCATTTTGAGAAATGATTTCTGAATTGATTTCTGGTCGAGAAACTGCTGATGAAGGTACTTTGCATAGAATTTAGCAACTTCATCACCTCCATGCCCATCATATACAACAAAGAGAAGTTGAGTTGTCCAGATTTGGATAGTCTGCATGAGCATCTTCCATAGCTATATCCTATCCTTGCATTGTTGCCAAACCAGCGTGTGATATGCTCTGTTACATGGGCTTCATAATTCAGAAGGATGGTGAATTAGATGGAGATGTATGCCATAGAATCAGAGCTGGGTGGATGAAATGGAAAAGTGCATCAAGATATCTATGCGATCGAGATATGTCGACTAGACTGAAAGGTAAATTTTCGAACAACAATTAGGCTTGCTTTAATATATGGCGTCGAGTGTTGTGCGATAAAACAATGTCACTTTCAAAAGATGAGTGTGACAGAGATGCGTATGTTGCGTTGGATGTGTGGACATACCACAAAAGACAGCTTGAGGAATGAGATAATCAGACAAAAGGTGTGAGTAGCACCTATAGACCTTGGTTATTAGAAAAAACAAAGGAAATCAATTTTGGTTAAAACTTTTCAAAACTTCACACATATTTAGATTTATTAGTCTTTGTGGAATAGGAATGTATAAATAAAACAAATCTAAAGTCTAAACAAATATACTTCCTCCGTCCCACTAACAATGGGACAATCAAACCAATACAAAGTGGTTTATGTGGTTGATATTGAATTGATAAAGTAAGAATAAAGTAAGAATGATTTAGAGCCACACAAACTTTGCCAAATTTGGTATGAGACAATCTTAGTGGGACGGACCGAAAAGGTAAAATGGGACAATCATAGCGGGACGGAGGGAGTACTAATCTAGTCATTTAGTACAGGGATAAGGCTGCGCACATCTGACCCCCCTTACCCCACCTTAGGTGGGAGCCTTTGGGGCACTGGGGCAATGATGATGATGATGATGATGATGATGATGATGAGTCATTTAGTTTAGATTTTGAATCACATTTTGTATTCTTCCCAAATTACTTCCTCTCAAAGATACCTTCATAAGAAGGTTACAATGAGAAGAGAATTCAGCACAAAACATTACCAACTTTTTTGTGTGGAGGGTGAATATTCGTGTGGAGGATTGATCTCTTATCATCGTTTTTATCCTTTTATTTTCTTTATCTCTCTTATGTTCTTTATCCCTTTTTGTCATTTTTATTATATATATATATATATTCTTTTTATCCCTTTTTATCTCATCATTTTTATCTTTAACTTATATTTATTTTTATCTTATTTATTTTTTTAATCATACCTTATCTTTCTTATTTTTATTTTCTTTTTGACTCCAATATCATGTATCGATTCATGTTAGGCGTCTCCAAAATCTTTTAGAACTAAGTCTTGGATGTTATTGTTGTTGTATACGACTAACTAATTTTGAAAAGCATAGTGATAGTATAAATTTGTTACCAATCCAACGTAGTCGGGATTAAGGGTGATGATAATTGAAAAATATAAGGAAAAAACTATTTGTACGCAGTTTTTGTACACACCGTCTTACACACGTCTGTGAGCAATTATTTTTTTGTCCGTTCAGTGTTCACTGACAAAACATATTTTGTGTGAACAGGAAAAAATAGCTGCAAGATGGTGTGTACAAAAAAGTGTGTACAAGAAGAACTTAAAAAAAAAAAACGTAGTGTTTTTGTTGTAGGTTTGTGGAGACTGATAAACGCGGACGGTTTTTCACCAAGCCCAATCACTTTGATCCAATCTTAGTGAAAGAAAAGTTTATTCAAGCAAAGGTATCATTTTAAACACGTGGACCATTTCTTTAAATCAGTGCATATTAAATTGTAGGGAAAAATATATTAGGAGTTAATTACTATGTTACCATATCATTGATTTCATACTAATCCTTATATTTCTCTCATTGGTTTTTGAAAAATACTTGCATCTTAAAAGCCAGTGGCAAAGTACAATTTTTTTTTGTAAGTGTCTCACATGGCAAAATATGAACTAATAAACCATTATTTTTCCCATTAAATTAATAATCGCCATGCTTTAAAAGATGATAATAATTATTCCGTACTATTTTTTATGGTTTACAAGTATAATGTTTAATTATAGTATGCAGAACGGCGATTTGTCTACAAGGTAAAGAACACTGCCGACATGCTTTCGGTTGCTGAACAGTTGTGGGAAGGCGTCCTTACAAATGACAAGAAGACAGTGTACCGTCTCATTGTTGTTTATGGAGTGGATGTTAATGCTATTAACGGGCACTCATCACCCGGTAAAGCATTAACTCTAGCACTGTCATTGAAGTTAGACAGCAAATCTTCATGTGCATTTGACCATCCACGACAAGGGAGTGAAGATAATAAGATCCTTGATGGATGTTCCCTTATTCACCTTGCGTGCCAGATAGCTGACATTGCCATGGTGGAACTTCTCTTACAACACGGTGCAAATATAAATGCTTGTGATTCAAGGGGACAAACACCGCTCCATCACAGTGTCATCAGAGGCAGGGTCATGATTGCCAAGCTATTACTTTCCAGGTAAACTGGTTTTCCTTTTATCTTGAGGATTTTCTATTTTTATCAGACGAAGGGGAAATCACTTTGTTTTGCAATGTAGTCACTAGTCACTCGTTTTTTATTTGATGCAACGATCCAGCCTGGTAGTGAATTCAGAAATTTTCTTCTAAAGAGATGCAATATATTGTAATATCTTTAAGTAAATATACCTTACCTCTTAAATAAATTCAAAAAGTATACCAACTTAAACAACTTTATATATACATATGTTTTATATGTTATGTAGTCATTGCATATGAAGTACTCCGTAATACTTATATCAAGTTATCAACCCAAGGGGGGCAGGTACCCTATGTACCTGATGCGATTCCTTCCTCCACTCCCTCAATTAATTTAAACTGATGCTGTGTCAACAGTTACAACCCCCGTAACTGGTCACCCTACCTTTGAAGACGTAAACGTTCTACTGAATCGCTTCCTGGATTCCACCATTAAGCCATGGGTGCAAGATGCAATGACCGCTCTAGCACAGGAATTTAGGACCACCCAAGCGGTTCGGTCTGAACAAACACCACCCCAACCTTCCCCTGAACCGTTCATCTCCCATACACAACCCATATCCTCCACCCCTCTATCCCACCAATCCATAAACCAAATTCCCATTCCCTCTATTTTTCGGGGAACCCAGGATACAGAACCAGTATTCTCCCCACACCCGAACACACCCTCCATCGATCTCTCCTCACTATCCTTTGACACACTAGCTTCGGCTTTGCTGAATAACCTCTTAAACACCCCAGAAGACAAACTCACTCTTCATCAGCAAGCCATACTTGAAGCCCTTCTTTCTTCACCCGAAACCAAGAGCACTTGCAAGGAGAGTCTTCGTGGTCGCAAACGTTCCCATGAGGACCCCGATGATTCGGATCCTCATGAGGGGGAGAACAAGCGACCTCGATCACTTGAGCAAACTGCTCTACCAAGCCAAACTCCACAGCCCATCCAACCTGAAACCTCAACAAACCAACAGCCACCATCCACAGCCAACTTTTCTAGCATGGTCGAGCTAGAAATAACATCCCGAGGCGTATCTCCCAGAGATACCAACCGAGGAGGGGATGGAAGTCATGATGATGTTACCACTGGTACATCTTCTCCATCAGGCCATCAGTTGGAACTCAGTTCTAAGCTGATGTCAACGGGCAATCCAAGTGAACCCGGTAGTGCTACTCAGGAACAATCACCGCCTGAACAAAGAATTCCATATATTTCCCCAGGCAAAGACATCCATGATGCACTGGAAGAGGCGATGATATATGACAAATGGCCAAGAAAATGGACAGAATGGGATGATCTTCGGGTTGAGGCCGAACAAGAGGACATGCAAAGAAACTGGTGGCTACGAGAGCTAATCAACAGATGCTCTGAAGATATTATAAGGCTCGAGGATGATGAACGCAAGGAAGGGGAGAATTACAAAGAATCCCAGAAGACTCTTGAATCGGTCGTAAGACAATCAGCGGGAAGACTTCCCAAGACATAGAAACCCTGGGATAACGTTCGCATCAAAGCCCCCTTCCAAGAAGAAATCAGAGAGCATATCTGGCGTAGACCAGACAGAGTCAAGCCACTGAATGAACTGAAGCTAAGAGGCCTTACTCACTTAAAAGGAAAGCAGGCTGGAGGTCATCTGCATATGTTGTTACAAAGGTCAACCGGTACACAGAGAGAACTAATGGAACAAGATCTGAAGTCGAATATTCTCCCGATTCATCAAATTCTACAAGTGAAGGCTGAAGACTATCATGGAGTAACATTCTACACTCACAGACTTCAATGCACCGATGGGAGCGAATTTACTTGTCAAGAGAACGACTTCATCATGCTGAAACCGGATGACATCTACCAAATGTTCATGGCCTACAGATACCTTCCAGTCAGGCAGAGCATAATATACAGCGAAGGCCTCGCATCTATCAAGAGATTCATGCTTAGACAGATCCGAGTACACTCTTCACATGACCTACAGATGGCTATTGAGTGCAATCTGAAAAAGACAAATCTGACAAAGCCAAGACTGTATGGTCCTGAACTTGAAGATTTCCCAGCCTACCACATCTTCTTCACACCGCCAGCAGTCACCTATCTGAACCACAAGAACGAAAAGCGTCTGATGGTAGTCAGTGAAATTGAGAAGTACTGTGACGGAACACTGAAGATAATCAAAGAACAGATTCTAAAGATGAAGGCAGAGCTAGAGAAAAATCTTCAAGAGGCATCGTCTTATGTTCAAAAGGAACACTCTACAGTAGAGACTATTCTAAAGGCCATTGACGATCGCCTCGAAAAGAGAAATGTACTGAGGCAATATGAGCATGCACTTGGTATGAGGAAGCACTACTTCAAGTCTCAGAAGCAATAAGAGAATGGCACTTGATCACAAAGGGGGAGATTGTTGGAGATATTTAATTGTGAATCAAGTTGGTCATAGATTAGCTTTATATTTAATCCTTTATTTAATTAGTGCATGAATTAGATAGAAATCGGGCCAAGTGTTAGGCCCATATAAACAGGCTAAAAGCCTGGTACGCCTAACCTAAACCTCGCCTATAAAAAGGGAGCAGAGGTTTAGGAATAGGTTGAACGTCGTACTTATTATTCATAGCCTTACGTGCATATCATTCTGTTGTACGAGTTCACGGTTTATCAAAGAAGGTTTTACGTTGATTCATTCTGTGTTCATCCTTACGTTTAATCTTCGTTGTTAGATCGTTATTCATTGCTGTTACAGAAATAGGGACTAACAAGGCCTAAAATTAGGAGACCATTTGGTCACCCTCATAACCCTTCCTTGAATTGACCAAGACTGTCTATTCCAGCACCGTAAATAGTCCTCTTCACGTTCAAAATGCAGCAGAATATGTTTCCTTTCCAACACTCCTAACTGAAAACTACCTTTAAAACCAATTCTTTCAAGAGATTTACGCAAGACATCAAGGGTGGGACGACCATGAAAGAAATAACCAACCAAGGAGTGTTTGTGCTTCTCAGCCAAAATCTGTATTTCGCTTTCCGGAAAAGATATGGCAGGCATACCTTTGAACCTCGTAGGAATTTTGGCTGATAGAGAATCAGTAGGTTGTTTATTCGCAACGATCTCAGCAAAAGTCTTGTTGCCCCACTCAGTGGTGGCAGTGATAGCGCTGCCGTGAAGTTTTGTATATCAAACAACCATTCTAGATTATGTGTGATAGGGACGGATTGGCCCAGTTCTGAATTTCTGATTTGGGGACAAGTTGATTCCCTACCGTTTTTCATTGATTTCTGTATGCATGTAAGAAAATCAATGAAAAACAAATTGGAAGCAGTTTGGAACTAACAAAGCAGTGTGGAACCGGTACATTCAATACCAACACCGATTATCGGGGAGGGAAACCGGTAGGGAATCAACTTGTCCAGAAATCAGAAATTCAGAACCGGGCCAATCTGTCCCTATCACACATAATCTAGAATGGTTTTTTGTATATATATGTGTGTGTGTGTGTTTATTGATACGAATACGGAGTATTATTTACTTATACTAGTATTTCACCCGTGTGATGCACGGGTGAAGCTTTTTATTTAAATGATATGCACAAAATATTTATAAACGTATAAAATAATATCGACGTAATATATGAAGTGTTTTTTTGCAAAAAGGGGTTATATTGGTAGGTGATAAAAAGAAACAAATTCGATCAATAACTCATCGATCATGTTCACCATTTTCAGGATTGATATTCTCTGAATCTCGATATAAATATTAATGTTAACACCTAAAGAAAAGTCACCCAATAACTCATTTAATTATAATAGTAATTAGGCACAATTATATTTCAATTATATCACATAGTAATTTTATTTACCATTATGCCCACTAAAACAATTAAATGAATGCTACCAACCAAGTCAAGTATATTAACGGTCGATCAAGGTAACTTATCATGTATGCAAAGGATGATTTATGTACAGGTCATGGTGACCTGAAATCCAGTGTAACTTAATTATTTTCAATTTTGTTAGTGCATATTTTTTCTTTTTTCATATTCAACCCACCCCGCTAATGCTAAAGTTCAGTATAATTGCTCTTCAGTCCAGGGCATCTCAAACTCCTGGATCCGCCCCTGCATGTATGTTATCTTTGTAAATTAAAATTGTAATATAACTCCTTTAAAATGATTTCTTTATCTAGCTATATGATTATTATGGAAGCGGTACTCGGTACATGGTGTGTAAACATCTCCCTAAAACATGTGAAAATCCCTTAAATCAACAAATGGAGTACAAATTAATCATAATAAATCAATGAGCCAAAATATTTCTTCTAAATTGAATGATGTGTCTTTCTTATATAAGAGTCTTTCTTATATAACAGTGACGGACCCAGAAGTTTTCTAAAGCGGGGCACAGTCGTATGAATGGGAATGGCTCGGGTCAGGTGCATCAGTAGTCCATGTCCGGATCTAGGGGAGGGCCAATGTAGGCCCTTGCTCACGCAAAATTTTAAAAATGTTTTTTAATTTTTGAGGTGAACAATTCTGTATAAAAGTTTTTTCAAAAATATTCTTTGCACTGCCCTAGTCCGAACCAGTACCTTTAAATTGCTCCGCCCCTGAAGTGGTTTATTCTGTCTAGTCTGTTTAGATTATTATTTTTAACCAGAAATAAATTATTCAATGTCGGTTTCAGGACATATATAGATTATTATAGTTCTTGTTTTGAACCCACTAAGACTCGACTATTGTATCAAAATACTACCTTGTTATTTCATCTTTCAATACAACTTTATCTAATAATATGATTTTATATTTTTATATATCTAACTTTTATCATATTGCAATACAAAAAATCAAAAAGTATGACAGTCTAGCACGAATTGAAAAAAAAACATGTATATATTTTTTCAAGAACAATAGTTTTTCATCTATTAAGTTAATCTCACATATAAGATGTTTTATCATATCTTAAACCTCTTCTTACTTTAGACCATAATTCATACTTATTCAAAAAATCATCAATGCCACATTTCAAAAAACAAATAGTGATCATATCAACAGCATGTCTAATTACATGGAGTCGATCCCCAACACATTGTTTGTCATTTACATCTTCACTACAATGTATATGCTCTTCGGTGAAATTATCTTTATATCTATATTTTTTGTACGTGAAGCGAGGACACGATTTTTATCTTAAGTACTAATACTAAATTTTGGGGTCGGAAGTGGGGGCACTCCCCCCAAGGACCCCCCTAGATCCTCCACTGTAACTTATATACGACGTAATTTGGTCATCACCTAGAACAATAATCTGGAATAGTAGAAGGTTCATATTAAGAATATGACGATGATAAAGTGAAATAAAAAACAAAAGTCATTTAATTTATTGAACTGCTATTTATAAAAATGTTTGAGCATATATTCAATTTTTTAATTATTAGTCCAACTAATATAAACAATCAAATTTGTCCAACGACTAACGGACTAACATGGAAGCAACACATCCGTCCATTTACAAAAATTCTTGGTACCAGTACACCTCTGTGTCTATGAGAGGTTTTTTGTCTGTGAATCCCAATTCACAGACAAAACCGACTTGTTTGTCTGTGGAAAATTCCACAGACAAAACAAACCAGTTTTTATCTATCGACTGAGATTCTCAGACCAAAAAAAACTCTCACAGACATGGAGGTGTACTCATGTGTATAAGAACGTGTACAAAAGGAATTTTTCGTCCATTTATTTTCCCGATTGGTGTTTTTTAAACTACATTTACCCTACTAAAAACAAATATTTCAATTATATAAATTACAAATCGATGAAAACAATTAATAACTCACATGTGCTTTGAACATAAGAATGCTTATGAATTATGAGAACACTAATACTTAGTTTCTTAATGTACTAAATGGTACTAATTAATTGCAACAGTTAAACATAAATAAGAAGCATATAAGAAATAAAGTGCCACTTTAATACATAAGGTTTGAATTTAAAAAAAATAACCAATATAAAAGGAGAAAAAGAAATGTTGAGCAATGCAAATGAAATGTTTGTATAGTCTAAATATGCTCTTCGTATAAAGTTGTAATTTTAAGAAAAAACTTAATATATATCATGTCTACATATGACAAAAATTTAGTAAAAAATATCTTTGATCTAAAAACATAAAAAGCTAGAATTCGAGGAGTGCAATAAATTAAAGAGAAATTCTAGACGGAAGGATTCCTTTTCCCATTTGATCACTTCAGTCCATATATGTTGATGATTCTCGTGTGTTCTCAAAATAGATTCTTTAATCGCCAACGCCTCTGTCTTGCCATTTTGTGTGTGGCCAAGTAATACAACCAAATTTGTAAACGCTTACGAAGACAATTAAAAAAAAGAGAGAATCCCCTATGTATTAATGCTCTTGAAGGAAGGCGAAAGGACAATATCTGAATTCTAGATTTAATCTTATTACATATAGTAAGCTTCCATAAGTTTGCTTCAACCTTTTATCTTTTACAAAATTTTGAAATTAAAATGGTCTTAAAATATTTTGAACAAAATTTTAAATGTTACACTACTATTACATTATTAGTTTGAAGATATACTGATTTTTTTACACCTAAATATATTGAATATTTTATTTACAATTTTGACAGGTAAATCATTTTGGTTTTAAAAAATGGAATCCATTGTAATTGGAGCTATTTTGCGTGGATAGATCCTTGTATTTCCATACTTCTATGGAGTATGTATCAATTTTACATTTATAAATAAATAATTGTCTAAAAAATTTATCAATTACATTTCCGCGCGTATTCAGTATTCCCATCAGAGCAAGATGAGATATGTTGAATCAATAATCTCTAGCATTTTGACTCGAGGCGCATATGTCTTTTTTTCCTCTCACACTCTTATCAGCAAAAATCACATGCCATGTTCTCACAAATGAAATCAGTAGCTAAAATAAAAGGAATTGAAGGATTTTGATTTATTTTGCCCTCAATTCTTCAATTTCGAACTGGGAATATATTTGTAAAAGAGTAGATACTTTTAAATACATGAATTCATATATATAACTAACCCTTTATCTAGGTTCATATATAGAGAGATACTCCTTTTACATGTATACTCCGTATATACTTATTTCCATATCTACATCTTTATCGTATGGTATAGTCCAAATCCAAAAATGTTGGCAGATTCATAAGTTTTTGTAGTTATGTCTTGTTACTCCCTGCATTAGCACCAGATTATTCAGTACAACAATAAAAGATTAAAAGGTGATAAGAGTTTTATCATTAATGTAAAAGTTCGAACTTTAAAAATTACATGCGCATGTATGAAAATTAAAATAGATTAAAAATAGTTTTATTGTTGAAAAGGTTTTTAAAAAATGAAGATAACATACCTCTTCTCATGGAATATCGAATCTGAAAATTTTCCATACGCAGGTACACCTTCGAATCTTATTAATCTCAATTTGATTGGGCAGGACACCACTCAATAAGAAAAATGGTATTGTGGTCTTGGGGATGCCACTAATTAACAGGAGGATAAGTATTTATTGATGAATCGTTCTTAAGCTTACCCAATACGCTTTGCGATGAGAATTGTAGGAGACGTTCACTGAAAATCTAATGTAATAAAATTGGATACAGAAATCGATGAGACAACTTGTAATTTTTACATTTAATTGTCTTTAATCACATCATATCTAGATTTCTAGGAAGTTCTTTGATAAAGGTGTTGGAGTACTATAATGCTACGTATTAAGCTGGAACCATTTTGGCGTAGATAGATAATGACTTCATTATTCTGGAAGCTTCTATGTTTAGGCGGGAACTTTCTCATCAAGTTTTCTTTTGTTTTTATAATATAATAATAGATTATTGCATTTTATAGTATTATGCACATGTGAATTTTTTATGGGCATGTTATTATAAATTAAAACCATACTTACAAACGTATTGTTATTGGTGTTATATTGTTGTTATTATTATTATTATTATTATTATTATTATTATTATTATTATTATTATATTATTATTATTATTATTATATTATTATTATTATTACAAGTAGTGACCAAAAATCATTAGTGACCGAAAACCCATTAGTGATTGTCACTCGTTGATCACCAGGGCAATGATCAGCACCGGTCCCAATGACCAACCTTGTCGCCTATCACAGTGAATTCTTGGTCACTGACCTCGCCACCCATAGTGACTTGCCAGCTAGTGACCTTGCCACGCACAGTGACCTGCCCGTCAGTGACCTCGTTGGGCACCGTGCCACTGTTATCACCGCCGGCTAGTGACATGTTTTTTATCGGCGGCCAATTGCCCTGATTGTGACCACCTCCCTGACCGTCGACGAAGCGGCTGCCGCCCCAGCGGCGGCCAGCGGTGCTCTACTGATAAGCCCATAATCATCCACAGAGTCCCTAGCCCCTCTGCGGACCTGAACCCCCCTTTCCAAACTCCATAACCCATCCCCTCTCCAGCGGTCCTGCAGCCTTCAACTAGTGCCTCCCTTGCTCCTGCACCATACCCCAGACCCCACCCTCGCCAGTTCTCATCGGTCACTGCTCCAACCCACTATATATCCCGTTGCCAATCACCTAGCCAGACCTCTCCATTGAAGACGATGACGAGTTTTGGCGAGGTGCTTGACAACGGCCATGCCACCACTTAAAATATCAATATTCGGCCAAAAGAAGAAGAAAATTATATCGGCGATGGTTGAGGGTAGCATCAGAGGGGACGCGATGGCGAGACGGAGACAATGGCATACCTGGGCTACATCGGACCAGTGGAGGTAGCGGGTTGCGACTGGTCACGGTGGTGCAGGGAGACACAGCGGTCCAGGAGCAGTCTCGCGCAAGAAGAAAAGGTGTGAGTGAGATGTTGGTAGGCACTGGGCATGGATAGCTCGCTGAGTACGGTTATTTTTATATCAAGGGTGTTTTGGTCTGTTTAGATTTAAGATGACTCTTTTTTGTCCAATTTAAAAAAGAGACACAAACTAAATTAGAATGCACCTAGCCCCCCTCAACAGTGGCGGACCCACTAAGGGTCCCACGGGGTCCGGGGACCCCATGGACCTACAAAAAATACATATATATATTTGTATATATTTTACATAAAATTAAGTAATCAATGTATTTATACAATTGAAACTGGTTTAGAACACAAATATGGAGCTAGAGCAACGGTTGGACGCCCAATCTTGAGGCTCTATATGTGCGGGAGGTTGAGGGATCGATAATTTTGAAAATAAAATTATGGAACAACTTGGGACACCTATTGTTATCATGCACTTCTATACTCCAACTTTTAATCTAAATCTAATTTTCTCAACCTATGCCCATTTTTTTTCATAACAAATACTATTATAAAGCCAGTATGTATCCCCAAATTTGAGCTTATCTATTTTATAAACTAACTTCATCATGAAACACGTAATTTTTGAATTCACGCATTGAATTTGTAATAATTAAAATATTATGGAACAACTTGGGACACCTATTGTTATCATGCACCTCTATAGCCCAACTTTTGATCTAAATCTAATTTTCTCAACTTATATCCAATTTTTTTCATAACAAATACTATTATAAAGCCAGTATGTATCCCCAAATTTGAGCTTATCTGTTTTATAAACTAATTTCATCATGAAACACGTAATTTTTGAATTCACGCACTGAATTAAAATAAGCAAGTTAAAATCATTTTTTCGGCGAGATGACTGAAGTTACCGTAAGAGCATCATCTTAGCCACTTTTTCATATGACTTTTTTTTCATATCTTATAACATACTATCCTTCGTATCACATTATTTACAACATTGGAATACATTATTCATATACTTTACTTTGACTACATTTTATTTATTAATATATGTGAATTATTTTTGAAAAATATTGTTAAATCCGTCTCATTATTAAGTCTTATTATCTGATTTTTATTTTATTTTTACTAATACAGAATTAAATATAATGACGGTCAAAGTTGTGCGCTGGCAAACGTGAAATGTTGACTGTTGCAACTAAAAAGAGACGGAGGAAGTATAATTTAAATATCATTATTTCCTAATATAGCAGTTTCAGTCGCCTGAGCCATTATCGCATAGTTTGGCTTGATGTGATTTGATCTAAGACTAAAATCAGCTCAACAACAAAGTCCTTAAAGTTACACAAATAAATTGGTAATTGTATTAAATTAAAATAGAAACAAAGCTAATGAATATATTTTAAATAAAAATCCAAATAAAATAATGCGAAGTAATTGGATTGAAATTTTCAAATGTAGGCTTTTTAAATTTGATTTCTCATATGCATGCCCATTATTTTTAGTTGATAGAGGACATTAACTTTATAAAATTTTAGTGTCCGTTTAGTGACTCTGTTTTCGGCTTATCAGACTTATCAACCAACTTTTTAACCAAACATGTAACTTTTGATTTTACGCGCTGAATTATGTAATAATAAGAAAAATAAGGTTGAAGTTACTTTTCAGGCTGTATTGACTGCAGTTGTTGTAGATGACCATTTTATCTATTTTTCATATCATTTCTTCTTTATTTTATTAATATAATATATTTTAAATATAATTTTTCATAATCAGCAGAAACAGTCGATACAACCAATTCAGTCAGAACTTTATAAATTTCAGCAGAATCAGCCGATTCAGCCGATTTCAGTGTTACCAAACGGGCCCTAGTTGATAGTAGACATTTCTTTAAAATTGTTGTATACGTTATGTTAACTACGATATGTTATGCTATTTTACTATTTTACTTCTTCTTTTTATTAATTTTTTATTAATTAGTTACATTACCGTAGGGACCCCGTGATTCTGAGTTTCTGGGTCCGCCACTGCCCCTCAATGTGTATCTACTTGCCTTTCAATTGGTATCAGAATAGGTCCATAACGAATGAGTTTAAACAATCTAAGGATCCTCTATTTATTTCTCCACTTAGATACCAATTACCCCATGACTTTCTAAATATATGATCTTATTATTTGTTTCATAAATAATGAACTATGTAACTTCAAAAAGTATTTCCAAACCTCCATTTTTCAATTCAGATAATTACTCTTATTGGATTTTTAGGATGGAAAGCTACATCCAGTCCACCAATTATGATCTTTGGATATTTTTTCTTGATGTCCCTTACCTTATTGTTAAATGTGTAAATGATGAGACAGTTCAAAAAACAAGAAGTGATCAAACTGAGTTCAATGATGTGGAAAAGTATACATTTTTTTCCCTCAATGCTAAAGCTTAGAATACCTTACATTGTGCACTTGGCCCTGCTGAATTTTCATGTGTAAGCCAATGTAAGAGGGCAAAAAATGGGGCGGTGGAAACAACACACTCATAACTAAAGCAAATCAAGATTGCTCTTGGAGCCTCTGAATCAAGCGTGATGAATCAATTCAAGACATGTCAAAGAGTTTCAATGATATTATCTTATCCCTGAGCAAACTTGGGGAAACATATTCTCCTCAAGAGAAGAAATGGCAGAGCATAGTAGTCACCTTGACTTCTCTGTGCTCAACTATGTCTACATGAAACCTTTGGTCCTCTCTTCTAAAGCGATCTGTATTTGAAAAAGATGAGAAACAAAGAGGATCGTGGAGTGAAACCAAATAGAACATTGGCTCTGAAGCACAACACTGAACCTCACAGAGACAATGAGGAAGACCAAATGGGACAAAATAAATTCAAATAAAGATACGAGCAAAGACAAGAGAGGAAAGTCGAATCATCCATCTTGCTTTGAGTTGGCGAGCAAGGACAAAGAAAAATGATGGTCCCCAAAATATAAAGAATGAAAGACAATGAGAAAAGGAAGAAAAAGAGAAAAAAATATTACAAGTTATAAGAGAGAGTGATCATGCTAACGTCTCTTACTTCACCCATGATGAGGAGGATGTATGTTCCAATTCTTCTTATACACCTGATTGTGATTTTACATTTTAAGAACTTAGAACGGCCTTTGCTGATATGCACAATGACCTTTCTCGTGTCTTGAAAGAGGAGAAAGCTCTCATGAAATCTTTTAAAGCTTTACAAGGGAAATTCGAGCAAAGAAAAGATAAATATGATCTAATGGGTAAAAGCGAAATTTTAGAAAATGATTTAGACTTGCACAGGAAACTTTCTCATAATTTTAAAGGTGAAAACACAGTACTAACTATCATGGAGAATAAAGTTTTTGATTTCCTTTATGAGGAGGACCACCTCAACCTTAAACAGGCTCGGGCTAACTATATTCAAACTCCCACTCATATAAACTGTTACTATAGGCAGAAGGCTAAAATAAAATGGCTCAAGGCCACACATAATAAACTCGGCATTTCAAGAATTAAAGAGGATCCCAGCTCCTATTGTTAGACCATTGATTGTGTAATTGCTAACGAGGATAACAACCTTCTCCTCAGCCCTATTACTACGGCTGAACTCCGTGAGTCTGCTCTTAGCCTTGATAAGGGTACTGCTATGAGCCTATGAATGGTAGCTTCTACCAAATTGTCTAGGGAAAAGGGGCAAATAAGGCCACGTACTAACCAAAAAAGATCAAATAAGGCCTTATTTATGAGGCTCTGTCCGGCCTTCGCCATTTGGGGTGGTTCTCGGTGAAATTTTTTGATGAATGTTTTTGACCATCTTATTCATTAAGTCTAGTTTTACTCATACCAAATTTCAGATAAAAATTTAATCGAGAAGGCATTCAAATGAATTCTTGAAGATAATTGCGCTTTTAACTGCACAGTTATCTTCAAGAATTCATTTGAATAGCTTCCCGATTGAAGTTTTAGCTTAAATTTGGTATGAGTAAACTAGACTTACTGAATAAGATGCTCAAAACAATTCATCAAAAAATTCCACCGAGAACCAACCCAAATGGCGAAGGTCGGACAGAGCCTCATAAATAAGGCCTTATTTGACCTTTTTTTGTTAGTACGTGGCCTTATTTGCTCCTTTTCCCAATTGTCTATGACATTATTGAGCATGATGTTTACAATGTTGTTAGGCAGTTTTTCTGTGGGGTTCCTATTCCCAAAATCATTGGTCATGCCCTTATTGCTCTTATCCCTAAAGAACTAAATGCTTGCCAATTCTCTAAATTCAGACCTATAAGTCTTAGTAATTTCATAAACAAAAATTTTACTATAGTTATTACTACCAGAATTACCACTCTTATCCCTAAAATCATTTCTGGTGAACAAACTACTTTTCAAAAGGGTAAGGGAATCTCTGAAAATATTTTGGTCATTAATAAGAAGGCTATGGGGCATTTTATGATGGAACCTGTTGATAGGATCTCTTAGAATTTTATTAAACATGCTCTTATTTTCTTTGGATTCCATCATATGTTTGTCCCGCATATTGCCAATAATTTCAATGTTATGTGGTGCTCTATTTTGATCAATGGCATCCCCAAAGGTTTCTTCAAACCATCCAGGGTGTTAAGCAGACAAGTGATCTTTCTCCCTTAATACACTCAGCATGGTATGCCTTGGGTTACCTATTTATCTTCTGTTGATGATCTTATCATTTTCTCTAATGCTTCTAAGTGCTCTCTGAATTCCTTCTATAGTACTATTCAAGAGTACAACAAGTTCTCTAGACAATTGATTGGTAAAGATAAAAAAATTTACATTACTTCTAAGGGCATCACCATCCATGAGATTATTAAGTGATTATTCTAGTGACATGGCATATTATTTTGGGGAGCATGGTTGAGTGAGAGAGATTATTTGACATGATTAATTGATAGAATAATCTGAGATCAAAATATGAAACCGGATTATTTTGAGATTATTTGTGAAGTTAGAGTTAATTAGTTAATAAATGACCCGCAAAAGATTAGATTATTTCGGGATGATGGTTGAAAGTAATTTAGAGGGGACAAGATTATTTCTAAAACAATTATGTGGCAAATATTAAAAGGTAAGAATCACAAAAAATCAGATTATGTTAGAAGCTGGATGCTCTTTGCATGTCACCCATCACACTTGCAAATTGCAATACCGTTAAAAAACATTTTCCAAATCAAGAAGGGTTCTTTACTTCTTTTCCAAATCACTCCCGACCTCCTTAATCTGACTATTAAGGAGTGTATAATCAATAATTCTCTTATTTTTGCGATACTAAATAATAAATATTCCCCTAATTATGTGATTGACACGATTAATTCTATCGACATCCCGCTTCTCTGATCGGGAGTATGCATATGTTTGGTAACCTAACTCTAATGGAAAGTTTGTTATCCCTATTTTCCATCGGTGTAATACTATAATTTTGTTTTTGAGGTGAAAAACTTGGACATTTATTAAGGCACTCTCAGAAAATCAAAGATCACCCGTGTCAGACAATTGGTTAGTACGTGGCCTTATTTGCCCCTTTTCCCTAGACAATTTGGTAGAAGCTACCATTCATAGGCTCATAGCAGTACCCTTATCAAGGCTAAGAGCAGACTCACGGAGTTCAGCCGTAGTAATAGGGCTGAGGAGAAGGTTGTTATCCTCGTTAGCAATTACACAATCAATGGTCTAACAATAGGAGCTGGGATCCTCTTTAATTCTTGAAATGCCGAGTTTATTATGTGTGGCCTTGAGCCATTTTATTTTAGCCTTCTGCCTATAGTAACAGTTTATATGAGTGGGAGTTTGAATATAGTTAGCCCGAGCCTGTTTAAGGTTGAGGTGGTCCTCCTCATAAAGGAAATCAAAAACTTTATTCTCCATGATAGTTAGTACTGTGTTTTCACCTTTAAAATTATGAGAAAGTTTCCTGTGCAAGTCTAAATCATTTTCTAAAATTTCGCTTTTACCCATTAGATCATATTTATCTTTTCTTTGCTCGAATTTCCCTTGTAAAGCTTTAAAAGATTTCATGAGAGCTTTCTCCTCTTTCAAGACACGAGAAAGGTCATTGTGCATATCAGCAAAGGCCGTTCTAAGTTCTTAAAATGTAAAATCACAATCAGGTGTATAAGAAGAATTGGAACATACATCCTCCTCATCATGGGTGAAGTAAGAGACGTTAGCATGATCACTCTCTCTTATAACTTGTAATATTTTTTTCTCTTTTTCTTCCTTTTCTCATTGTCTTTCATTCTTTATATTTTGGGGACCATCATTTTTCTTTGTCCTTGCTCGCCAACTCAAAGCAAGATGGATGATTCGACTTTCCTCTCTTGTCTTTGCTCGTATCTTTATTTGAATTTATTTTGTCCCATTTGGTCTTCCTCATTGTCTCTGTGAGGTTCAGTGTTGTGCTTCAGAGCCAATGTTCTATTTGGTTTCACTCCACGATCCTCTTTGTTTCTCATCTTTTTCAAATACAGATCGCTTTAGAAGAGAGGACCAAAGGTTTCATGTAGACATAGTTGAGCACAGAGAAGTCAAGGTGACTACTATGCTCTGCCATTTCTTCTCTTGAGGAGAATATGTTTCCCCAAGTTTGCTCAGGGATAAGATAATATCATTGAAACTCTTTGACATGTCTTGAATTGATTCATCACGCTTGATTCAGAGGCTCCAAGAGCAATCTTGATTTGCTTTAGTTATGAGTGTGTTGTTTCCACCGCCCCATTTTTTGCCCTCTTACATTGGCTTACACATGAAAATTCAGCAGGGCCAAGTGCACAATGTAAGGTATTCTAAGCTTTAGCATTGAGGGAAAAAAATGTATACTTTTCCACATCATTGAACTCAGTTTGATCACTTCTTGTTTTTTGAACTGTCTCATCATTTACACATTTAACAATAAGGTAAGGGACATCAAGAAAAAATATCCAAAGATCATAATTGGTGGACTGGATGTAGCTTTCCATCCTAAAAATCCAATAAGAGTAATTATCTGAATTGAAAAATGGAGGTTTGGAAATACTTTTTGAAGTTACATAGTTCATTATTTATGAAACAAATAATAAGATCATATATTTAGAAAGTCATGGGGTAATTGGTATCTAAGTGGAGAAATAAATAGAGGATCCTTAGATTGTTTAAACTCATTCGTTATGGACCTATTCTGATACCAATTGAAAGGCAAGTAGATACACATTGAGGGGCAGTGGCGGACCCAGAAACTCAGAATCACGGGGGTCCCTACGGTAATGTAACTAATTAATAAAAAATTAATAAAAAGAAGAAGTAAAATAGTAAAATAGCATAACATATCGTAGTTAACATAACGTATACAACAATTTTAAAGAAATGTCTACTATCAACTAGGGCCCGTTTGGTAACACTGAAATCGGCTGAATCGGCTGATTCTGCTGAAATTTATAAAGTTCTGACTGAATTGGTTGTATCGACTGTTTCTGCTGATTATGAAAAATTATATTTAAAATATATTATATTAATAAAATAAAGAAGAAATGATATGAAAAATAGATAAAATGGTCATCTACAACAACTGCAGTCAATACAGCCTGAAAAGTAACTTCAACCTTATTTTTCTTATTATTACATAATTCAGCGCGTAAAATCAAAAGTTACATGTTTGGTTAAAAAGTTGGTTGATAAGTCTGATAAGCCGAAAACAGAGTCACTAAACGGACACTAAAATTTTATAAAGTTAATGTCCTCTATCAACTAAAAATAATGGGCATGCATATGAGAAATCAAATTTAAAAAGCCTACATTTGAAAATTTCAATCCAATTACTTCGCATTATTTTATTTGGATTTTTATTTAAAATATATTCATTAGCTTTGTTTCTATTTTAATTTAATACAATTACCAATTTATTTGTGTAACTTTAAGGACTTTGTTGTTGAGCTGATTTTAGTCTTAGATCAAATCACATCAAGCCAAACTATGCGATAATGGCTCAAGCGACTGAAACTGCTATATTAGGAAATAATGATATTTAAATTATACTTCCTCCGTCTCTTTTTAGTTGCAACAGTCAACATTTCACGTTTGCCAGCGCACAACTTTGACCGTCATTATATTTAATTCTGTATTAGTAAAAATAAAATAAAAATCAGATAATAAGACTTAATAATGAGACGGATTTAACAATATTTTTCAAAAATAATTCACATATATTAATAAATAAAATGTAGTCAAAGTAAAGTATATGAATAATGTATTCCAATGTTGTAAATAATGTGATACGAAGGATAGTATGTTATAAGATATGAAAAAAAAGTCATATGAAAAAGTGGCTAAGATGATGCTCTTACGGTAACTTCAGTCATCTCGCCGAAAAAATGATTTTAACTTGCTTATTTTAATTCAGTGCGTGAATTCAAAAATTACGTGTTTCATGATGAAATTAGTTTATAAAACAGATAAGCTCAAATTTGGGGATACATACTGGCTTTATAATAGTATTTGTTATGAAAAAAATTGGATATAAGTTGAGAAAATTAGATTTAGATCAAAAGTTGGGCTATAGAGGTGCATGATAACAATAGGTGTCCCAAGTTGTTCCATAATATTTTAATTATTACAAATTCAATGCGTGAATTCAAAAATTACGTGTTTCATGATGAAGTTAGTTTATAAAATAGATAAGCTCAAATTTGGGGATACATACTGGCTTTATAATAGTATTTGTTATGAAAAAAAATGGGCATAGGTTGAGAAAATTAGATTTAGATTAAAAGTTGGAGTATAGAAGTGCATGATAACAATAGGTGTCCCAAGTTGTTCCATAATTTTATTTTCAAAATTATCGATCCCTCAACCTCCCGCACATATAGAGCCTCAAGATTGGGCGTCCAACCGTTGCTCTAGCTCCATATTTGTGTTCTAAACCAGTTTCAATTGTATAAATACATTGATTACTTAATTTTATGTAAAATATATACAAATATATATATGTATTTTTTGTAGGTCCATGGGGTCCCCGGACCCCGTGGGACCCTTAGTGGGTCCGCCACTGTTGAGGGGGGCTAGGTGCATTCTAATTTAGTTTGTGTCTCTTTTTTAAATTGGACAAAAAAGAGTCATCTTAAATCTAAACAGACCAAAACACCCTTGATATAAAAATAACCGTACTCAGCGAGCTATCCATGCCCAGTGCCTACCAACATCTCACTCACACCTTTTCTTCTTGCGCGAGACTGCTCCTGGACCGCTGTGTCTCCCTGCACCACCGTGACCAGTCGCAACCCGCTACCTCCACTGGTCCGATGTAGCCCAGGTATGCCATTGTCTCCGTCTCGCCATCGCGTCCCCTCTGATGCTACCCTCAACCATCGCCGATATAATTTTCTTCTTCTTTTGGCCGAATATTGATATTTTAAGTGGTGGCATGGCCGTTGTCAAGCACCTCGCCAAAACTCGTCATCGTCTTCAATGGAGAGGTCTGGCTAGGTGATTGGCAACGGGATATATAGTGGGTTGGAGCAGTGACCGATGAGAACTGGCGAGGGTGGGGTCTGGGGTATGGTGCAGGAGCAAGGGAGGCACTAGTTGAAGGCTGCAGGACCGCTGGAGAGGGGATGGGTTATGGAGTTTGGAAAGGGGGGTTCAGGTCCGCAGAGGGGCTAGGGACTCTGTGGATGATTATGGGCTTATCAGTAGAGCACCGCTGGCCGCCGCTGGGGCGGCAGCCGCTTCGTCGACGGTCAGGGAGGTGGTCACAATCAGGGCAATTGGCCGCCGATAAAAAACATGTCACTAGCCGGCGGTGATAACAGTGGCACGGTGCCCAACGAGGTCACTGACGGGCAGGTCACTGTGCGTGGCAAGGTCACTAGCTGGCAAGTCACTATGGGTGGCGAGGTCAGTGACCAAGAATTCACTGTGATAGGCGACAAGGTTGGTCATTGGGACCGGTGCTGATCATTGCCCTGGTGATCAACGAGTGACAATCACTAATGGGTTTTCGGTCACTAATGATTTTTGGTCACTACTTGTAATAATAATAATAATATAATAATAATAATAATAATATAATAATAATAATAATAATAATAATAATAATAATAATAATAATAATAATAATAATAATAACAACAATATAACACCAATAACAATACGTTTGTAAGTATGGTTTTAATTTATAATAACATGCCCATAAAAAATTCACATGTGCATAATACTATAAAATGCAATAATCTATTATTATATTATAAAAACAAAAGAAAACTTGATGAGAAAGTTCCCGCCTAAACATAGAAGCTTCCAGAATAATGAAGTCATTATCTATCTACGCCAAAATGGTTCCAGCTTAATACGTAGCATTATAGTACTCCAACACCTTTATCAAAGAACTTCCTAGAAATCTAGATATGATGTGATTAAAGACAATTAAATGTAAAAATTACAAGTTGTCTCATCGATTTCTGTATCCAATTTTATTACATTAGATTTTCAGTGAACGTCTCCTACAATTCTCATCGCAAAGCGTATTGGGTAAGCTTAAGAACGATTCATCAATAAATACTTATCCTCCTGTTAATTAGTGGCATCCCCAAGACCACAATACCATTTTTCTTATTGAGTGGTGTCCTGCCCAATCAAATTGAGATTAATAAGATTCGAAGGTGTACCTGCGTATGGAAAATTTTCAGATTCGATATTCCATGAGAAGAGGTATGTTATCTTCATTTTTTAAAAACCTTTTCAACAATAAAACTATTTTTAATCTATTTTAATTTTCATACATGCGCATGTAATTTTTAAAGTTCGAACTTTTACATTAATGATAAAACTCTTATCACCTTTTAATCTTTTATTGTTGTACTGAATAATCTGGTGCTAATGCAGGGAGTAACAAGACATAACTACAAAAACTTATGAATCTGCCAACATTTTTGGATTTGGACTATACCATACGATAAAGATGTAGATATGGAAATAAGTATATACGGAGTATACATGTAAAAGGAGTATCTCTCTATATATGAACCTAGATAAAGGGTTAGTTATATATATGAATTCATGTATTTAAAAGTATCTACTCTTTTACAAATATATTCCCAGTTCGAAATTGAAGAATTGAGGGCAAAATAAATCAAAATCCTTCAATTCCTTTTATTTTAGCTACTGATTTCATTTGTGAGAACATGGCATGTGATTTTTGCTGATAAGAGTGTGAGAGGAAAAAAAGACATATGCGCCTCGAGTCAAAATGCTAGAGATTATTGATTCAACATATCTCATCTTGCTCTGATGGGAATACTGAATACGCGCGGAAATGTAATTGATAAATTTTTTAGACAATTATTTATTTATAAATGTAAAATTGATACATACTCCATAGAAGTATGGAAATACAAGGATCTATCCACGCAAAATAGCTCCAATTACAATGGATTCCATTTTTTAAAACCAAAATGATTTACCTGTCAAAATTGTAAATAAAATATTCAATATATTTAGGTGTAAAAAAATCAGTATATCTTCAAACTAATAATGTAATAGTAGTGTAACATTTAAAATTTTGTTCAAAATATTTTAAGACCATTTTAATTTCAAAATTTTGTAAAAGATAAAAGGTTGAAGCAAACTTATGGAAGCTTACTATATGTAATAAGATTAAATCTAGAATTCAGATATTGTCCTTTCGCCTTCCTTCAAGAGCATTAATACATAGGGGATTCTCTCTTTTTTTTAATTGTCTTCGTAAGCGTTTACAAATTTGGTTGTATTACTTGGCCACACACAAAATGGCAAGACAGAGGCGTTGGCGATTAAAGAATCTATTTTGAGAACACACGAGAATCATCAACATATATGGACTGAAGTGATCAAATGGGAAAAGGAATCCTTCCGTCTAGAATTTCTCTTTAATTTATTGCACTCCTCGAATTCTAGCTTTTTATGTTTTTAGATCAAAGATATTTTTTACTAAATTTTTGTCATATGTAGACATGATATATATTAAGTTTTTTCTTAAAATTACAACTTTATACGAAGAGCATATTTAGACTATACAAACATTTCATTTGCATTGCTCAACATTTCTTTTTCTCCTTTTATATTGGTTATTTTTTTTAAATTCAAACCTTATGTATTAAAGTGGCACTTTATTTCTTATATGCTTCTTATTTATGTTTAACTGTTGCAATTAATTAGTACCATTTAGTACATTAAGAAACTAAGTATTAGTGTTCTCATAATTCATAAGCATTCTTATGTTCAAAGCACATGTGAGTTATTAATTGTTTTCATCGATTTGTAATTTATATAATTGAAATATTTGTTTTTAGTAGGGTAAATGTAGTTTAAAAAACACCAATCGGGAAAATAAATGGACGAAAAATTCCTTTTGTACACGTTCTTATACACATGAGTACACCTCCATGTCTGTGAGAGTTTTTTTTGGTCTGAGAATCTCAGTCGATAGATAAAAACTGGTTTGTTTTGTCTGTGGAATTTTCCACAGACAAACAAGTCGGTTTTGTCTGTGAATTGGGATTCACAGACAAAAAACCTCTCATAGACACAGAGGTGTACTGGTACCAAGAATTTTTGTAAATGGACGGATGTGTTGCTTCCATGTTAGTCCGTTAGTCGTTGGACAAATTTGATTGTTTATATTAGTTGGACTAATAATTAAAAAATTGAATATATGCTCAAACATTTTTATAAATAGCAGTTCAATAAATTAAATGACTTTTGTTTTTTATTTCACTTTATCATCGTCATATTCTTAATATGAACCTTCTACTATTCCAGATTATTGTTCTAGGTGATGACCAAATTACGTCGTATATAAGTTACAGTGGAGGATCTAGGGGGGTCCTTGGGGGGAGTGCCCCCACTTCCGACCCCAAAATTTAGTATTAGTACTTAAGATAAAAATCGTGTCCTCGCTTCACGTACAAAAAATATAGATATAAAGATAATTTCACCGAAGAGCATATACATTGTAGTGAAGATGTAAATGACAAACAATGTGTTGGGGATCGACTCCATGTAATTAGACATGCTGTTGATATGATCACTATTTGTTTTTTGAAATGTGGCATTGATGATTTTTTGAATAAGTATGAATTATGGTCTAAAGTAAGAAGAGGTTTAAGATATGATAAAACATCTTATATGTGAGATTAACTTAATAGATGAAAAACTATTGTTCTTGAAAAAATATATACATGTTTTTTTTTCAATTCGTGCTAGACTGTCATACTTTTTGATTTTTTGTATTGCAATATGATAAAAGTTAGATATATAAAAATATAAAATCATATTATTAGATAAAGTTGTATTGAAAGATGAAATAACAAGGTAGTATTTTGATACAATAGTCGAGTCTTAGTGGGTTCAAAACAAGAACTATAATAATCTATATATGTCCTGAAACCGACATTGAATAATTTATTTCTGGTTAAAAATAATAATCTAAACAGACTAGACAGAATAAACCACTTCAGGGGCGGAGCAATTTAAAGGTACTGGTTCGGACTAGGGCAGTGCAAAGAATATTTTTGAAAAAACTTTTATACAGAATTGTTCACCTCAAAAATTAAAAAACATTTTTAAAATTTTGCGTGAGCAAGGGCCTACATTGGCCCTCCCCTAGATCCGGACATGGACTACTGATGCACCTGACCCGAGCCATTCCCATTCATACGACTGTGCCCCGCTTTAGAAAACTTCTGGGTCCGTCACTGTTATATAAGAAAGACTCTTATATAAGAAAGACACATCATTCAATTTAGAAGAAATATTTTGGCTCATTGATTTATTATGATTAATTTGTACTCCATTTGTTGATTTAAGGGATTTTCACATGTTTTAGGGAGATGTTTACACACCATGTACCGAGTACCGCTTCCATAATAATCATATAGCTAGATAAAGAAATCATTTTAAAGGAGTTATATTACAATTTTAATTTACAAAGATAACATACATGCAGGGGCGGATCCAGGAGTTTGAGATGCCCTGGACTGAAGAGCAATTATACTGAACTTTAGCATTAGCGGGGTGGGTTGAATATGAAAAAAGAAAAAATATGCACTAACAAAATTGAAAATAATTAAGTTACACTGGATTTCAGGTCACCATGACCTGTACATAAATCATCCTTTGCATACATGATAAGTTACCTTGATCGACCGTTAATATACTTGACTTGGTTGGTAGCATTCATTTAATTGTTTTAGTGGGCATAATGGTAAATAAAATTACTATGTGATATAATTGAAATATAATTGTGCCTAATTACTATTATAATTAAATGAGTTATTGGGTGACTTTTCTTTAGGTGTTAACATTAATATTTATATCGAGATTCAGAGAATATCAATCCTGAAAATGGTGAACATGATCGATGAGTTATTGATCGAATTTGTTTCTTTTTATCACCTACCAATATAACCCCTTTTTGCAAAAAAACACTTCATATATTACGTCGATATTATTTTATACGTTTATAAATATTTTGTGCATATCATTTAAATAAAAAGCTTCACCCGTGCATCACACGGGTGAAATACTAGTATAAGTAAATAATACTCCGTATTCGTATCAATAAACACACACACACACATATATATACAAAAAACCATTCTAGATTATGTGTGATAGGGACAGATTGGCCCGGTTCTGAATTTCTGATTTCTGGACAAGTTGATTCCCTACCGGTTTCCCTCCCCGATAATCGGTGTTGGTATTGAATGTACCGGTTCCACACTGCTTTGTTAGTTCCAAACTGCTTCCAATTTGTTTTTCATTGATTTTCTTACATGCATACAGAAATCAATGAAAAACGGTAGGGAATCAACTTGTCCCCAAATCAGAAATTCAGAACTGGGCCAATCCGTCCCTATCACACATAATCTAGAATGGTTGTTTGATATACAAAACTTCACGGCAGCGCTATCACTGCCACCACTGAGTGGGGCAACAAGACTTTTGCTGAGATCGTTGCGAATAAACAACCTACTGATTCTCTATCAGCCAAAATTCCTACGAGGTTCAAAGGTATGCCTGCCATATCTTTTCCGGAAAGCGAAATACAGATTTTGGCTGAGAAGCACAAACACTCCTTGGTTGGTTATTTCTTTCATGGTCGTCCCACCCTTGATGTCTTGCGTAAATCTCTTGAAAGAATTGGTTTTAAAGGTAGTTTTCAGTTAGGAGTGTTGGAAAGGAAACATATTCTGCTGCATTTTGAACGTGAAGAGGACTATTTACGGTGCTGGAATAGACAGTCTTGGTCAATTCAAGGAAGGGTTATGAGGGTGACCAAATGGTCTCCTAATTTTAGGCCTTGTTAGTCCCTATTTCTGTAACAGCAATGAATAACGATCTAACAACGAAGATTAAACGTAAGGATGAACACAGAATGAATCAACGTAAAACCTTCTTTGATAAACCGTGAACTCGTACAACAGAATGATATGCACGTAAGGCTATGAATAATAAGTACGACGTTCAACCTATTCCTAAACCTCTGCTCCCTTTTTATAGGCGAGGTTTAGGTTAGGCGTACCAGGCTTTTAGCCTGTTTATATGGGCCTAACACTTGGCCCGATTTCTATCTAATTCATGCACTAATTAAATAAAGGATTAAATATAAAGCTAATCTATGACCAACTTGATTCACAATTAAATATCTCCAACAATCTCCCCCTTTGTGATCAAGTGCCATTCTCTTATTGCTTCTGAGACTTGAAGTAGTGCTTCCTCATACCAAGTGCATGCTCATATTGCCTCAGTACATTTCTCTTTTCGAGGCGATCGTCAATGGCCTTTAGAATAGTCTCTACTGTAGAGTGTTCCTTTTGAACATAAGACGATGCCTCTTGAAGATTTTTCTCTAGCTCTGCCTTCATCTTTAGAATCTGTTCTTTGATTATCTTCAGTGTTCCGTCACAGTACTTCTCAATTTCACTGACTACCATCAGACGCTTTTCGTTCTTGTGGTTCAGATAGGTGACTGCTGGCGGTGTGAAGAAGATGTGGTAGGCTGGGAAATCTTCAAGTTCAGGACCATACAGTCTTGGCTTTGTCAGATTTGTCTTTTTCAGATTGCACTCAATAGCCATCTGTAGGTCATGTGAAGAGTGTACTCGGATCTGTCTAAGCATGAATCTCTTGATAGATGCGAGGCCTTCGCTGTATATTATGCTCTGCCTGACTGGAAGGTATCTGTAGGCCATGAACATTTGGTAGATGTCATCCGGTTTCAGCATGATGAAGTCGTTCTCTTGACAAGTAAATTCGCTCCCATCGGTGCATTGAAGTCTGTGAGTGTAGAATGTTACTCCATGATAGTCTTCAGCCTTCACTTGTAGAATTTGATGAATCGGGAGAATATTCGACTTCAGATCTTGTTCCATTAGTTCTCTCTGTGTACCGGTTGACCTTTGTAACAACATATGCAGATGACCTCCAGCCTGCTTTCCTTTTAAGTGAGTAAGGCCTCTTAGCTTCAGTTCATTCAGTGGCTTGACTCTGTCTGGTCTACGCCAGATATGCTCTCTGATTTCTTCTTGGAAGGGGGCTTTGATGCGAACGTTATCCCAGGGTTTCTATGTCTTGGGAAGTCTTCCCGCTGATTGTCTTACGACCGATTCAAGAGTCTTCTGGGATTCTTTGTAATTCTCCCCTTCCTTGCGTTCATCATCCTCGAGCCTTATAATATCTTCAGAGCATCTGTTGATTAGCTCTCGTAGCCACCAGTTTCTTTGCATGTCCTCTTGTTCGGCCTCAACCCGAAGATCATCCCATTCTGTCCATTTTCTTGGCCATTTGTCATATATCATCGCCTCTTCCAGTGCATCATGGATGTCTTTGCCTGGGGAAATATATGGAATTCTTTGTTCAGGCGGTGATTGTTCCTGAGTAGCACTACCGGGTTCACTTGGATTGCCCGTTGACATCAGCTTAGAACTGAGTTCCAACTGATGGCCTGATGGAGAAGATGTACCAGTGGTAACATCATCATGACTTCCATCCCCTCCTCGGTTGGTATCTCTGGGAGATACGCCTCGGGATGTTATTTCTAGCTCGACCATGCTAGAAAAGTTGGCTGTGGATGGTGGCTGTTGGTTTGTTGAGGTTTCAGGTTGGATGGGCTGTGGAGTTTGGCTTGGTAGAGCAGTTTGCTCAAGTGATCGAGGTCGCTTGTTCTCCCCCTCATGAGGATCCGAATCATCGGGGTCCTCATGGGAACGTTTGCGACCACGAAGACTCTCCTTGCAAGTGCTCTTGGTTTCGGGTGAAGAAAGAAGGGCTTCAAGTATGGCTTGCTGATGAAGAGTGAGTTTGTCTTCTGGGGTGTTTAAGAGGTTATTCAGCAAAGCCGAAGCTAGTGTGTCAAAGGATAGTGAGGAGAGATCGATGGAGGGTGTGTTCGGGTGTGGGGAGAATACTGGTTCTGTATCCTGGGTTCCCCGAAAAATAGAGGGAATGGGAATTTGGTTTATGGATTGGTGGGATAGAGGGGTGGAGGATATGGGTTGTGTATGGGAGATGAACGGTTCAGGGGAAGGTTGGGGTGGTGTTTGTTCAGACCGAACCGCTTGGGTGGTCCTAAATTCCTGTGCTAGAGCGGTCATTGCATCTTGCACCCATGGCTTAATGGTGGAATCCAGGAAGCGATTCAGTAGAACGTTTACGTCTTCAAAGGTAGGGTGACCAGTTACGGGGGTTGTAACTGTTGACACAGCATCAGTGAAGATTGCTGATGTGTGGCCTGCATTTAATGATGGAATCATTATGGGCGTAGCAGGGCTTCCAACTGTCATAGCTTGCGCTCTGGTTGTTGCGTTCAGGGTGAGTGCACCTGTATGTGCAGTGAATAGTGTAGGTGTCCTAGAAAATGAAGAAAATGTGGGGAATGTGACACCTAGACTCGATGTGTGAGAAGAAGGGGTTTTGACCTCAGGAGATAGGTCAATTGTATGCTCAACTGATTCAGAAGGAACTAGCGAGGGGGTTGAGTCCCGTTCTTTTGAAACAATAGCCTTTTGAGAGGCTATCGAGTGGCTGGGAGAGGGCTGTGCATGCGCAGTTGAGCCAGATGCTGCGACTTCTACCCGGGAACCGAAAAGATCGGCTCCTGTGCTTAGGGATTCGGCTCGGCTTATCTGGATAAAGGAGTCGCAGCCCGCGAAGATGTGCTCGTCTGCCTTATCAAACAGGCTCTTTTTGGCTTGGGGCTGGGGCTTGACCTTGGCAGCCTTGTCATTCTTGACCTTTGCCCTGGTCTCTCGGATGACGACTTCTTCTGAGTTGAATGATGCCTTAATGGAATGAGCCGCCTCGTCATAATCATCCTTGGAGCAATTTGTCTCGCTCGAATCAGCTCTTGGTTTAGCCTTTTCTTTTATTGTGAAGACTTGAGGTCTGCCAGCTATTATTGGTGCTGCGTCTTCAGCAGTAATTCTTCTCTTCTTCGGAGATTCGACGGGCAGCTTCCCTTTTCTGATCAGGGCATATGTGAGCTCCACATCATCACTATCATTATCATCGTCGTCATCATCCGAGCTAGATTCTCCGCTCTCCGTGCCCACGCTCTCGGAAGCCTCGTCGTCAGTGTTTGTTTGGGCTTCACTTGACGATTCATTGGCCGTTTCCTCAGCGTCTATTTCGGTGCCCTCAGCCGCCTGACTCGTCTCAAGAGAGTCGTCAGACTTTCCTTCATTGGGCGAACCGGCCACTGGTTTCTGTGGCTTTTGGGCTCTCTTGGGACCCTTACTAACACTCGGCTTTGTCCCTTGGGTAGGTCCAGCTGGGTTTTGCTGAACCATAGGAACGGTCTTCTCTGTGGCTTCCTTGTACTGTTGAACAACTAGATTTGAAGATCTTACAAGGTTGAGCAGAAACCCAGGGATCCGCAGACCGTAGGTAGGGTTCTTGTCTGCTTTAAAGTATTGCAACTTTGGGGCATTGTAGTGTGGATCGGAGCTGCGTTTTGGGATTGACGGGTGCTCTGCCATGCAGTCGTTGATGATCAGCCCAAGCCACCTTGCATATGGGATGGTACCTGGCCTGTTCTTTTCTTTGGCCTTGACCAGGTCCATTAGCTCTGAGAAGAAGAGTTGTGCCATGTCGTAGTTCTTGTTGAAGGCGATGCCATGGAAGATAAGCAGGATCTGCTTTTTGCACTTGTCGAATCCGGCATGCTTCGGCGACAGGCACTTGTTCACTAGCCCGAAGAGATTCTTCCACAGGTGACGGAGATATGCGCCGTTGAAGTTCGACAGTTGTGGCAGTAGTGATGTGTAGCCAAGGGATGCCACATCTTTGAGTAGATCTGGGATGGACGGCAGCTCATCATATGTATCTCGGACTGGCAGTGCTAATGTAGTGCGCAATGTTGTTGGTGTAAGGATCACCCGCATGCCGTTTAGCTTGGTCTTTATTTTTGAGCGATCCTTCAGCGAATCCGTATGCATGTGCCCCCAGAACTGTTGTAGGTATATCTCTGGCACCGGTTTGGCGTTGTGAAGTGCAGGCTAGAGATAGTGACCTTTCATGATGGCCGGAATGATCGGGTTCTGGCACTTGAAGACTGCAAGGTCTAGCTGGAAATTGTTGTCCAGCACCTTGATCCATTTTTCTTGGGAGTAGATGGCATCATCGATCTGTGCTTTAGTGTTTCCTGCCATTTTAAAACTGTAGAAGTAGGGGTCAGCACATGAAGTTCAACTGTTTGATTTGATTGAAGGAGTTTGATTTAGTTGTCAGATAAGTTTATGCAGGTGGATTTTTGAAAAAATTTGCCAAGTCCAAATCTCGAGATCTGAATCTCGAGATCATGATTTCGAGATCCAAATCTCGAGATCTTGATTTCGAGATTCAAATCTCGAGATCAAGATGTCGAGATGTAGATCTTGAGATCTTGATTTCGAGATTCAAATCTCGAGATCAAGATGTCGAGATGCAGATCTCGAGATCTTAATTTCGAGATTCAAATCTCGAGATCAAGATGTCGAGATACAGATCTCGAGATCTTGATTTCGAGATTCAAATCTCGAGATCAAGATGTCGAGATGCCCATCTCGAGATCTTGATTTCGAGAAGTTGAACCGACGATCTCGAGATCTTGAAAACCAAAATCTCGAAATCGTGATTTCGAAGCGAAGAATCCACCTGCAAAAACATAGAAACGATATACCAAAAACTATAACAACAAGATTTCGACATACATTCAAACGAAAAAATCGAAAAAAATAATTTTTGATTTTGATTTTGAGAAGAAGGGGCGATCGTTCGGCGAGAACGTTTGTCCGTTGAAAGCGTTTTTATGGATTTCGAACACGTCGGAATAACTACCTTAGAAGGTTGGCGAGAAAGAGAATCGGAGAAGGAGAAAGGTTTGCGAAAACAGAGGTTTTGGGAAGTCGAGGAGCTCTGCGTTTTTCAAGCTTTGGCGAGAAGTTTAGAATAGGAAGTGAAAGGCTTTTCTGAGGCTTATATACGCGAGAAAAAGATTTGGACTTCCTCCGTAACAATTGAGCCCGAATGATTGGGCTAGCACACAGTGCCCCTTTTTTAAAAAAAATTCGAGGTCCAATCAGTAAAAAATAGAGAGCTCCCCCTTAATCAGTGAAAAATAGCTCCCCCTCAAACAGTGAAAATTTTCTCCTCCTCAAAAAATGCAACGAACAATATGTACAAATGCAACGCACACACACTATTTTTTGTTCTTTTTGATTTTTCACACACACTCAACACATGCAACACACGCACACTATTTTTTGTTATTTTTGATTTTTCACACACACTCAACACATGCAACACACGCACACTATTTTTTGTTATTTTTTTGGTTTTCTCCCCCTCAACACATGCAACGCACACACACTATTTACAAATCCCACGCACACACTTTGCAGATCAGTGGAGACAAAAATTAAACAGGCTCAAGGTTCAACATGCCCAACTTGGAGACCAGGAACTGGAATCTTTTTTCATCCAATGCCTTAGTGAACAAGTCAGCCAGTTGAAGCTCTGAGCTTACAAAATACATATCTATATCTCTTTTCTCCACGTGATCCTTGATGAAATGATAGCGCAGGTCGATGTGTTTGGTGCGGGAGTGATGAACCGGGTTGCTGGTGATGGCGATGGCGCTCTGTGAGTCACTGTAGATCGGGATATGGCGGAAAGTGTAACCGTAGTCCTTTAGCTGGGTCTTCATCCATAATATTTGTGAACAACAGTTCGCAGCCGCGACGTATTCTGCCTCGGCCGTAGATGTTGACACACAGTTCTGTTTCTTGGAAGACCAGCAGACTAACTTATCGCCCAAGAACTGGACAGCTCCCGATGTACTTTTGCGGTCCATCCGGAAACCAGCAAAGTCAGCATCCGAGTATCCGACTAGGTCAAAACCTGAGTGCTTGGGATACCAAAGGCCTAGATTCACAGTGCCTTTGAGGTATCTCAGAATTCTTCGAACAGCGGTCAGATGGGATTCCTTCGGATTTGCCTGAAAGCGTGCACATAAGCATGTGGAGAAGACAATGTCAGGCCTGCTTGACGTGAGATATAGCAAAGATTCAATGATGGCCCTGTAGTTTGTAGCATCAACTGGCTTCCCGGAGGGGTCTGAGTCCAGTTTGTTGTTTGGGGACATAGGGGTAGTCATGGAAGATTTGCCATCAATGTTGAATCTCTTAAGCATTTCCAGAATATACTTTGACTGATTGATGAAAATGTCGTCAGAGAGTTGTCTTACTTGCAGGCCTAGGAAGAAATTCAGCTCTCCCATCATGCTCATTTCAAACTTTGTTTTCATCAGTTTCTCAAAGTGTTTGCACAGACGTGGATTTGAGGAGGCGAAGATAATGTCATCAACATAGATCTGAATCAGGATGATGTCAGACTTCTGTCGCTTGATGAAAAGTGTGGTATCAATCTTCCCTTTTGAGAAACCTGAGTCAACTAGAAATTCGGTTAAGGCATCGTACCAAGCTCTTGGTGCCTGTTTCAACCCATACAAAGCTTTCTTTAGTTTGTACACATGGTCGGGATATCTGGGATCTACAAATCCTTCGGGCTGAGCGACATAGACTTCTTCTTCCAAGACTCCATTCAGAAAGGCAGTCTTGACGTCCATTTGAAAGACGGTAAAGTTCTTGTGGGCCACGTACGCAAGAAAAAGGCGGATTGCTTCAATTCTTGCTACGGGTGCAACCAAAGAAAGTCTCAAAGAAGCAACAGAAACCCCCTACCCCTTTTGACTCTGAAGAAGAAATACCTTTGGTGAAGAAGGTAGTCAAGAAGGTTCCCAGGAAAAAGATCACACCTGTCAAAGTCCACAAGTTGGTGGCAAAGAAATCTGTACTTAAGAGAAAGGCTCCTTCACCTATCTCTTCAGCAAGCACCCCTTCTGCCTCCCCCATTGCTAAGAAGACCAAAATCTTGACACCTGCAGCACAGGAGAAACTGGAGGACTCTGTCACCTCTGCCCCAGCCAACAGAAATGCTTGGCACGGCAAGAGAATCATCTTTGAGTCAAGTGACTCAGAAGAAGAAGAAGTTGTGCAGAATGCCACTTCTCAGGGGGAACTACATTCTTCTCCTCCTGCCTCTGAAAATGATCAACCTATGGTGGTTCCCTCACCAGAACACCAAGAAGGAAGCAGTACTTCAAGCCCTGATAGGAAATTCATCAGGATTCTGGCATGGAGAAAGTGGAGAGTGGGACCTCTCACTGACCT